TATATCTATCTATATATATTTATATATAGATAGATATATAGAAATATACATATTTCTATATCTATATCTATATCTATCTATCTATATCTATATCTATATCTATCTATATCTATATCTATATCATCTATATCTATCTATCTATATCTATCTATCTATAGATATAGATAGATAGATATAGATATAGATAGATAGATATAGATATAGATATATAGAAATATACATATATATGTAAAAGAATAGAAACTACTTCATAGCCTTTTAGTGGCCTTTGTGTGTTGGTATAGATAACTTTCTTTTCCCTAAAAAATCTCCCTTGTTTTTCTGTCTCCTCTTTCTCTGCTGGTGGCAACCATTTACCAAGTATTACAACATGGTTTTTATTTTTTATTATTTTTATTACTATTATTTTTTTGCTTTTAATTGTTAGAGAGCAAATTGAGGCATTAGCAATCACTGCTTTCTGTTCATTACAGAGGGGTGAATTAGGAATTGAGATATGCCCAGAAAGATAAGTCTTGACTGGTGACTGTTAGGAAAGTCCTCATTTAACACAACTACAGGGAGACATGTGGGACTGCTTGCTTATGTCCTCATGAAGACCAAAAGTCAAACAAAGAACATTTGCTTCTGAAAAAATGGGTTTCCTAGAAAATAAATAGGCTTGCTTCCAGCACTCCTTCACATGTCTATCAGACAAACAATAATAGCAAGGAAAGAATGCCTTTGCATTTAGTTTGCCAATAGTCTACCAGGTACAAATGGTAGACACACACACACATGCACACGCACACGCACATGCACACAAATGCACACATATGTTTGGGATGATGTTTTGGGGCCTACAAGAAACTGACACTCTCTGTGGACAGAAATATAGATTTAAATGAAACAAAATGTATTTCAAGGAGATATTAAACAAGCATAAAGTATACTGAATTGGTGAGGTTTTTTTTTTAAGCAATAAAGCTATCATCGACCAAATTTAAATTGATCAAAAAGAATAAAATGTTGCTATTTGCAATGTGGATGGAACTAGAGTGTATTATGATGAATGAAATAAGTCAATGGGGGAAAGACAAATATTATATGATTTCATTCATGTAGAATTTAAGAAACAACAAAAAAAAGACAAACATAGGGGAAGGGAAGGAAAAATAAAATAATATAAAAACAGAGAAGGAAGCAAAGCATAAGAAACTCTTAAATATAGAGAACAAGCTGAGGGTTGATGGAGGGGAGGTAGTTGGGGGATGGGGTAGATGGGTGATGGGCTTTAAGAAGGGTTCTTTTTGGGATGAGTAGTGGGTGTCATGTGTAAATGATGTATCACTAAATTCTACATCTGAAATCAATACTGCATTATATGTTAACTAACTTGAATTTAAGTTAAAAATAATTAAATCATGAACTGCATGTTGAGACATATCATTCGCCATTATGTTGACTTAGATGAGATAATAGGGAAGGAACAGACAGTCATGTAAAAAGAATTAGGGAAAACTGTTCATTTGCTCAGCACAAGAGTCTGCCATTCATAGGTCTCTTCCAATCAAAAAAGAATATTCAATGGTACTTAAAGTATGATAAATGTAACGTGATTTGAAGACACTGTTAAATGTAATTGCTTCTTTGAATATTTCTCAGTATACTCTTTCAGTTATTTTAGGTGGCTTAAGTAATCCTGATAAATTAACCTATTTTTCCCACTCGAATTCATGTGAAGCTCTACAGTCTATCTCTGATTGTGAACCCAGAGAATGCTGGCTGTTCTTCAGATGTAGATAGTAGACAGAAAGTGATTTTATTTTTATCAGTAAAAAAATGAAAAAACACACTGTTAATTTATTACATGAGTAGAGGTTATTTTAAATTTTAATACTTTATTTTATTTTGATGGGACTTTTAAGAGACATCAAAACCATATGGAAACTTTCACTTTAACAAAATTTTAAATTATATAACAAAAGCAGAATGAAAGCACAGATGCTGTTTCCTCTAGGTTCTTGTTCTAATAGTTAGGCTCATTTTTACTTCCATTTTCAGTCCCCACTCCCCTCAACACTGGCTCCTTCTTTGCACATAATCAAGTCTTCATCTAAAGTGACAAAGACAGATTTTAGCATTGCCTTCCTACCACAGGTATTGAACTATTTACCTGTTTTTCATTACCATTCTTTATTTCCTCAAAATCTTTGCTGAGGTTTTAAAATTTATTTTCTCCATTCTCAAGCCATCAGAATATATATAATATACATATATAATGTAAATCAGTATTAGTTAAGGGTGAGGTAAATTATGAAGATAGCAGAGACATTTTTGTTGTTCAAATAAAATCATAGATTCAAGTTTAGAAGGTTAGTGTCATCAGTGTAATGACCAGTGTGCAAAATTGAAATGTGGATGACATTAATATGGACATTTTGAACAGAGAGGGGGCTATAAATTAGCTTCACACTCTGAGTAGAACAACCCCAAAGCAAGTGTGACCTGAGTCCACAGGTTGAAGGAGGATATTGATAAACCTGAGGATAACTGTCCAGAGCAAGCATGCTAATGAGGGAGTTTGAAAATGTGAAAGAATTAGCTATGCCTTGTTTTGAGAAGAAAAGATGAACAAGTGTTAGAGATGATAATTCTCTGCAAATATCTGAATCAATGCCAGATGGAAGGGAGGTTAGTATTTACAGCTGTGACTATGAGGAAGGTCTTAAGACATTTGGGCCTACTGTGACCCAATATGGGAAATATTTGTAAAATAACATTATATGGATTTAAATGAACAAAAACTGTTAAAAATAGAATTTTTCCCCAAACAGAATGGGCTGTTTCATAAAGCATTAAGAGCCCTCCTTCTAGAGATGTCACCTGAAGATGGTTGCCTGGTTAAGTGCTTCTCATTGGGGATTCATGTATCAATCAGTGTTTGAAAAGATGACAGTTTGTATTTATTCCATTATTCTATCATTCTTTGATGGTCTTTTATTTGGAGAATAATCCTTTACATACATCATTAGTATTTATATAACCATTAATATTTTAATAAGTGATACTTTCTTATGCCCTATGTTTTCTTAATTTAAGATTATTTTTACATAAAGAAATTTTATTTAGAAAAAATGCTGGAATGGTTCAATTTTAATTGTATCACTAAGTAGAATATGGACTTGAAGTCAACTATTTACTCTGTTTTAGTTCATCTATACAATAACGAAGCTAAGCAAATGACCCCAAGATTCTTTCTAACTCCAAAAATCTATGAATTTCATCTATCTGACCGAAGTTGCCAATAGTGTGGCTGAATTTTAGTGGTTATAATCTCAGGCACAGAGAAGCATTCCTAGCTTCTCACTCACTGCCTCTGTCACTTTGGCAATTTACATCTCTGGGGCTTAGTTCACTAGTCTGTAAAAAGAGGACGTGAAATTACAGCTCATGGTGTGATATTGTTATGGACGCTCATGTGCTAATGATGGTAAGAAAGAATGGCTTAAAATCAGCCGTTACAAACTACAGGCTTTTCCAATCCACTGACTGTGAATTAGAGCCTAATAATTAATGTATCTACCTAGGAGTACATTTTATAGCATAGATTAAAGTTAAATTATTCTGCGGGTGCTTTATTTATTATTGTTTAATGGTTTTGGATTATGACTAGGGTAAGATATTAGCCTTTCTGTTAGACTTCTGTTCATGTATTAGAAAAAAAAAAAACAGTTTCTGTTTTTGTTTTCTGGGGAAATCTAGACTTGGCCATAGATATTCCATTCCCTTTTGTGCTTGCTGCATAGGTATAATGTTAGCCAGTTTGGGTAAGTGTTCTTGTTGGATGTCTTAGTTCTTGAGAAGATGCCAAAATTATGCATGTTTTAAAACCCATGGATATAGCCTTAATTAATAACACCAAATGTTTGTGGTATTTCACTCATCATACTATATATGCATCATAATTTCTGCCAGCCAGTGTCAACAAAATAGTGGCAAGAAATAGTAAATGATACAAATCCTTTTCATTCATCAGTGTAGCTTAAATTTTATCAGTGGATTAAACAAGACTATTAAAGTATTTGTATTT